ATTGACCTGAACTTGAAGGGCCCCAAGGTCAAGGGGGACATGGAGATGTCACTTCCCAAGCTGGAAGGTGACCTGAAGGGCCCTGACATTGACATCAAGGCCCCCAAAGTTGACATTGATGCCCCAGACGTGGAGCTTCACGGCCCATAAGGGAAGTTCAAGATGCCCAAGTTCAAGATGCCTGAGATGAACATCAAGGCCCCCAAGATCTCCATGCCCGACTTTGACCTCAACCTGAAAGGTCCAAAGATCAAGGGGGACGTGGATGTTTCTGCTCCCAAGCTGGAAGGTGACCTGAAAGGCCCTGACATTGACATCAAGGGCCCCAAAGTTGACGTTGACCTTCCTGACGTCAACCTGGAGTGTCCAGAAGCAAAAATTAAAGGTCCCAAGTTCAAGATGCCCGAGATGCATTTCAAGACCCCCAAGATCTCCATGCCTGACTTTGACCTCAACCTAAAGGGCCCCAAGATCAAGGGGGACGTGGACGTGTCTGGTCCCAAGTTGGAAGGTGACCTGAAAGGTCCTGACATTGACATCAAAGGTCCTAAAGTGGATGTAGAAGTTCCTGATGTGGATGTGGAGCTCCCCGAGGGGAAGGTGAAGGGCCCCAAGTTCAAGATGCCCGAGATGCACTTCAAAGCCCCCAAGATCTCCATGCCTGACTTTGACCTCAACCTAAAGGGCCCCAAGATCAAGGGGGACGTGGACGTGTCTGGTCCCAAGTTGGAAGGTGACCTGAAAGGGCCCAAAGTGGATGTTGAAGTTCCTGATGTTGAGTTAGAATGTCCAGAAGGGAAGTTGAAGGGTCCCAAGTTCAAGATGCCCGAGATGAACATCAAGGCCCCCAAGATCTCCATGCCTGACGTTGACTTCAACCTGAAGGGCCCCAAGATCAAGGGAGATGTGGACGTGTCTGTGCCCAAGCTGGAAGGTGACCTGAAGGGTCCTGACATTGACATCAAGGGCCCCAAAGTCAACGTTGACCTTCCTGATGTGGAGCTGGAAGGTCCTGAAGGGAAGTTCAAGATGCCCAAGTTCAAGATGCCTGAGATGAACATCAAGGCCCCCAAGATCTCCATGCCTGACATTGACCTGAACCTCAAGGGCCCCAAAGTGAAGGGAGATGTGGACGTGGCACTTCCCAAGCTTGAGGGTGACCTGAAGGGCCCTGGCATTGACATCAAGGGCCCCAAGATCTCCATGCCTGACTTTGACCTGAGCTTGTGAAGGTCCTGAAGGGAAACTCAAAGGCCCCAAGTTCAAGATGCCTGAGATGAACATCAAGGCCCCCAAGTTCTCCATGCCCGACGTTGACTTCAACCTGAAAGGACCCAAAGTGAAGGGAGATGTGGACGTGGCACTTCCCAAGCTTGAGGGTGACCTGAAGGGCCCTGGCATTGACATCAAGGGCCCCAAGATCTCCATGCCTGACTTTGACCTGAGCTTGTGAAGGTCCTGAAGGGAAACTCAAAGGCCCCAAGTTCAAGATGCCTGAGATGAACATCAAGGCCCCCAAGTTCTCCATGCCCGACGTTGACTTCAACCTGAAAGGACCCAAAGTGAAGGGAGATGTGGACGTGGCACTTCCCAAGCTTGAGGGTGACCTGAAGGGCCCTGGCATTGACATCAAGGGCCCCAAGATCTCCATGCCTGACTTTGACCTGAGCTTGTGAAGGTCCTGAAGGGAAACTCAAAGGCCCCAAGTTCAAGATGCCTGAGATGAACATCAAGGCCCCCAAGTTCTCCATGCCCGACGTTGACTTCAACCTGAAAGGACCCAAAGTGAAGGGAGATGTGGACGTGGCACTTCCCAAGCTTGAGGGTGACCTGAAGGGCCCTGGCATTGACATCAAGGGCCCCAAGATCTCCATGCCTGACTTTGACCTGAGCTTGTGAAGGTCCTGAAGGGAAACTCAAAGGCCCCAAGTTCAAGATGCCTGAGATGAACATCAAGGCCCCCAAGTTCTCCATGCCCGACGTTGACTTCAACCTGAAAGGACCCAAAGTGAAGGGAGATGTGGACGTGGCACTTCCCAAGCTTGAGGGTGACCTGAAGGGCCCTGGCATTGACATCAAGGGCCCCAAGATCTCCATGCCTGACTTTGACCTGAGCTTGTGAAGGTCCTGAAGGGAAACTCAAAGGCCCCAAGTTCAAGATGCCTGAGATGAACATCAAGGCCCCCAAGTTCTCCATGCCCGACGTTGACTTCAACCTGAAAGGACCCAAAGTGAAGGGAGATGTGGACGTGGCACTTCCCAAGCTTGAGGGTGACCTGAAGGGCCCTGGCATTGACATCAAGGGCCCCAAGATCTCCATGCCTGATGTTCATCAAGGGCCCCAAGATCTCCATGCCTGATGTTCATCAAGGGCCCCAAAGTTGACATTGATGCTCCAGACGTGGAGCTTCACGGCCCAGAAGGGAAGTTCAAGTTGCCCAAGTTCAAGATGCCCACGTTTGGGGTCCCTGGGTTCAAGGCTGAAGGTCCAGAAGTTGATGTAGATCTCCCTGAAGGCAACGTTGCTCTTTCAGGTCCAAAAGTTGATGTTTCTGCTCCTGACCTGGAGATCGAAGGCCCAGAAGGAAAACTGAAGGGCCCCAAATTCAAGAAGCCTGAACTTGAGTTCAACGTCCCCAAGATCTCCATGCCAGACATTGACCTGAACTTGAAAGGCCCCAAACTGAAAGGGGACCTTGATGCTTCTCTTCCCAAAGTTGAGGGGGAGCTGAAGGGTCCCAAGGTGGACATCAAAGGGCCGGAGGTGGAGCTGGAAGGTCCCAAGTTGGATCTAGAAGGAAAGGCCAAAAAATCCAGGTTTAAACTTCCCAAATTCAACTTTTCTGGACCCAAAGTGCAGGGCCCTGAAGTGGACGTGAAGGTGAAGAAGCCCGAGGTTGAAGTAGGAGGCCCCAAGGTTGATGTCCAGGCTCCAGAGGTGGATGTTCAGGCCAAAGCCAAAGGGTCCAAGTTCAAAATGCCCTTTCTGAGCATTTCGTCCCCAAGAGTCTCGATGCCGGACGTGGAGCTGAACCTGAAAGGGCACAAAGTCAAGGGGGAGCTGGATGTCACCAGCCCCAAGCTGGAAGGTGACCTGAAAGGTCCTGAGGTGGAACTCAAAGGCCCCAAAGTCAACATCGAAGCACCAGACGTGGAGCTTCATGGGCCAGAGGGGAAGATCAAGATGCCCAAGTTCAAGATGCCCAAGTTTGGGGTCAAGGCTGAAGGTCCAGAGGTTGATGTGAACCTGCCCAAAGGAGACCTGGATGTGTCTGGGCCAAAGGTGGAGCTGGAAGGTCCAGAGTTGGATGTGGAAGGTCCTGAAGGGAAGTTGAAGGGTCCCAAGTTCAAGATGCCCGAGATGCACATCAAGGCCCCCAAGATCTCCATGCCTGATGTTGACTTCAACCTGAAGGGCCCCAAGATCAAGGGAGATGTGGACGTGTCTGTGCCCAAGCTGGAAGGTGACCTGAAGGGCCCTGACATTGACATCAAGGGCCCCAAAGTCAACGTTGACCTTCCTGATGTGGAACTGGAAGGTCCTGAAGGGAAACTCAAAGGCCCCAAGTTCAAGATGCCCGAGATGCACATCAAGGCCCCCAAGATCTCCATGCCTGATGTTGACTTCAACCTGAAGGGCCCCAAGATCAAGGGAGATGTGGATGTGTCACTTCCAAAACTAGAAGGTGACTTGAAGGGCCCTGACATTGACATCAAGGGCCCCAAAGTTGACATTGATGCCCCAGATGTGGAGCTTCACGGCCCAGAAGGGAAGTTCAAGATGCCCAAGTTCAAGATGCCCAAGTTTGGGATGCCTGGGGTCAAGGCTGAAGGTCCAGAGGTTGATGTGAACCTGCCCAAAGGAGACCTGGATGTGTCTGGGCCAAAGGTGGAGCTGGAAGGTCCAGAGTTGGATGTGGAAGGGAAAGTGAAGGGTCCCAAGTTCAAGATGCCCGAGATGCACATCAAGGCCCCCAAGATCTCCATGCCTGACATTGACCTGAACCTGAAGGGCCCCAAAGTGAAGGGGGATGTGGACGTGTCTGTGCCCCAGGTGGATCTGAAGGCCCCAGATTTGCAAGTGAAAGGACCAAAAGTGGACGTGGAGGTTCCTGACCTTGACCTGGAAGGTCCCAAAGGAAAAGTGAAAGGCCCCAAGTTCAAGATGCCTGAGATGAACATCAAGGCCCCCAAGATCTCCATGCCTGACTTTGACTTGAACTTGAAAGGTCCCAAAGCCAAAGGAGGTTTGGATGTGGAGCTGGAGGGTCCCAAACTGGAAGGAGACCTGAGTGTTCCTGATGTCAACATCAAGGGGCCAAAGGTGGAGCTGGAAGGTCCAGAGTTGGATGTGGAAGGGCCTGAAGGGGAGGTGAAGGGTCCCAAGTTCAAGATGCCTGAGATGCACATCAAGGCCCCCAAGATCTCCATGCGTGACATTGACCTGAACCTGAAGGGCCCCAAGGTCAAGGGAGATGTGGATGTGTCTGGGCCAAAGGTGGAGCTGGAAGGTCCAGAGTTGGATGTGGAAGGGCCTGAAGGGGAGGTGAAGGGTCCCAAGTTCAAGATGCCTGAGATGCACATCAAGGCCCCCAAGATCTCCATGCGTGACATTGACCTGAACCTGAAGGGCCCCAAGGTCAAGGGAGATGTGGATGTGTCTGGGCCAAAGGTGGAGCTGGAAGGTCCAGAGTTGGATGTGGAAGGGCCTGAAGGGGAGGTGAAGGGTCCCAAGTTCAAGATGCCTGAGATGCACATCAAGGCCCCCAAGATCTCCATGCGTGACATTGACCTGAACCTGAAGGGCCCCAAGGTCAAGGGAGATGTGGATGTGTCTGGGCCAAAGGTGGAGCTGGAAGGTCCAGAGTTGGATGTGGAAGGGCCTGAAGGGGAGGTGAAGGGTCCCAAGTTCAAGATGCCTGAGATGCACATCAAGGCCCCCAAGATCTCCATGCGTGACATTGACCTGAACCTGAAGGGCCCCAAGGTCAAGGGAGATGTGGATGTGTCTGGGCCAAAGGTGGAGCTGGAAGGTCCAGAGTTGGATGTGGAAGGGCCTGAAGGGGAGGTGAAGGGTCCCAAGTTCAAGATGCCTGAGATGCACATCAAGGCCCCCAAGATCTCCATGCGTGACATTGACCTGAACCTGAAGGGCCCCAAGGTCAAGGGAGATGTGGATGTGTCTGGGCCAAAGGTGGAGCTGGAAGGTCCAGAGTTGGATGTGGAAGGGCCTGAAGGGGAGGTGAAGGGTCCCAAGTTCAAGATGCCTGAGATGCACATCAAGGCCCCCAAGATCTCCATGCGTGACATTGACCTGAACCTGAAGGGCCCCAAGGTCAAGGGAGATGTGGATGTGTCTGGGCCAAAGGTGGAGCTGGAAGGTCCAGAGTTGGATGTGGAAGGGCCTGAAGGGGAGGTGAAGGGTCCCAAGTTCAAGATGCCTGAGATGCACATCAAGGCCCCCAAGATCTCCATGCGTGACATTGACCTGAACCTGAAGGGCCCCAAGGTCAAGGGAGATGTGGATGTGTCTGGGCCAAAGGTGGAGCTGGAAGGTCCAGAGTTGGATGTGGAAGGGCCTGAAGGGGAGGTGAAGGGTCCCAAGTTCAAGATGCCTGAGATGCACATCAAGGCCCCCAAGATCTCCATGCGTGACATTGACCTGAACCTGAAGGGCCCCAAAGTGAAGGGGGACGTGGACGTGTCTGTTCCAGGAGTTGAAGGTGACCTGAAAGGTCCAGAGATCAATGTGGGTGCTCCAAAATTAGACATTGATGCCCCTGATGTTGACATTGAAGGACCTGAGGGGAAGTTCAAGCTGCCCAAGTTCAAGATGCCCAAGTTCTCCATGCCTGGTTTCAAGGGGGAGGGTGTGGATGTGGATCTGAACCTCCCCAAGGGGGACGTGGACATCTCTGGTCCCAGCCTCGAGGTGGGGGCTCCTGATCTGAACCTGGAGGGAAAAGCCAAAGGCCCCAAGTTCAAGATGCCCGAGATGCACATCAAGGCCCCCAAGATCTCCATGCCTGATGTGGACCTCAACATCAAAGGGCCTCAACTGAAAGGAGACGTGGATGTTTCTGGACCCAAGTTTGAGGGTGACCTGAAAGGCCCCAAAATAGATGTTGAGGTCCCTGATGTGACCATCGAAGGTCCTGAAGGGAAACTCAAAGGGCCCAAGTTCAAGATGCCCGAGATGCACATCAAGGCCCCCAAGATCTCCATGCCTGATGTTGACTTCAACCTGAAGGGCCCCAAGATCAAGGGAGACGTGGACGTGTCTGTGCCCAAGCTGGAAGGTGACCTGCAGGGCCCTGACATTGACATCAAGGGCCCCAAAGTCAACGTTGCCCTTCCTGATGTGGAGCTGGAAGCTCCTGAAGGGAAACTCAAAGGCCCCAAGTTCAAGATGCCGGAGAGGCACATCAAGGCCCCCAAGATCTCCATGCCTGATGTTGACTTCAACCTGAAGGGCCCCAAGATCAAGGGAGACGTGGACGTGTCTGTGCCCAAGCTGGAAGGTGACCTGCAGGGCCCTGACATTGACATCAAGGGCCCCAAAGTCAACGTTGCCCTTCCTGATGTGGAGCTGGAAGCTCCTGAAGGGAAACTCAAAGGCCCCAAGTTCAAGATGCCGGAGAGGCACATCAAGGCCCCCAAGATCTCCATGCCTGATGTTGACTTCAACCTGAAGGGCCCCAAGATCAAGGGAGACGTGGACGTGTCTGTGCCCAAGCTGGAAGGTGACCTGCAGGGCCCTGACATTGACATCAAGGGCCCCAAAGTCAACGTTGCCCTTCCTGATGTGGAGCTGGAAGCTCCTGAAGGGAAACTCAAAGGGCCCAAGTTCAAGATGCCCAAGTTCAAGATGCCCAAGTTCAAGATGCCCGAGATGCACATCAAGACCCCCCAGATCTCCATGCCTGACATCGACCTGAACCTGAAAGGCCTGAGGATGAAGGGTGACACTGACCTTCAAGGAGGTCTGAAGGGTCCTGAGCTGGACATCAAAGGCCCCAGAATAGACGTTGAGGGCCCAGAGGTTGATGTTGATGGTCTGGATGGAAAAGTGAAGCTGCCTAAATTGAAACTGCCCAAGTTTGGCTTCAAAGGAGAAGGTCCTGAGGTGGATGTCAACCTTCCCAAGGCTGAGGTGGATCTTTCAGGCCCCAAGGTGGATCTTTCAGGCCCCAAGGTGGACCTCAGTGTCCCAGAGGTAAGCGTGGAAGGTCCAGAGGGCAAAGTGAAAGGTCCTAAAGTGAAGTTGCCCGAAATGCACGTGAACGTCCCCAAAATCTCCATGCCCGAGATTGACTTGAACCTGAAAGGCCACAAGACCAAGGGAGGCTTTGACCTTTCAACCCCCAAGTTAGAAGGGTCCTTGAAAGGTCCTGATGTGGAGATCAAAGGCCCAGGAGTTGATGTTGAGTGTCCTGACGTGACCTTGGAAGGTCCGGAGGGAAATGTCAAGCTTCCCAAGATGAAAAAGCCCAAATTTGGGTTTGGGATGAAAAGCCCGAAAGCAGAACTGAAGGTCCCGGGAGCAGAAGTGGAGTCACCTGAGGTGGAGCTGAACGTGGAGGCCCCTGATGCCCACCTTGGTGGCAAAGGGAAGAAGAGCAAGTTCAAGATGCCCAAACTTCACATGAGCGGCCCCAAAGTGAAGGGCAAGAAAGGGGGTTTTGATGTGAGTGGGGGAGACTTGGAGGCCAACGTGAGGTCTCCTGACCTGGACCTGGGTGGCCCAGAAGTCACCATCAAAGGTGAAGCTGCTGTCAAGTCCCCCAAGGGCAGGAAACCCATGTTTGGGAAAATCTCCATCCCCGATGTTGAGTTCGACCTGAAATCGCCCCGATTCCGAGGGGGGGAGGCCCCAGGGGTGGGGGCAAAACTCGAGGGGGACCTGAAAGCTCCTGAGCTGGATGTGGCCACCAAAGGTGACCTGAAAGGAGCCACCATGGACGTCACCCTGCCAGACGTTGAGCTCCACGGGAAAGGACCAAAGGTCAAAGGTGAAGTCAACCTTCCCGGAGTAGAACTGGAAGGTCCAGGTGGGAAGTTGAAGTTGCCCAAGGTGGGGCTGGAAGGGCTGGATGGGAAGTTGGAGGCGCCGGGGGTTGAGTTGAACCTCCGAGGTGGGGATGGACAATTCCAAGGGCCCCAAATCTCCAGCCTGGGCTTGGAGGGCAACTTGAAAGGACCAAACCTGAAAGGAGATCTGGGTGGTTCCTGGTCTGTGGAAGGGCCCAAAGTCAACCTGGAGGCACCGAGCCTTGACGTGGGAGGTTTGGGTGGGAAGATGAAGCTGCCAACGTTGAAATCCCCGGGTCTGGAGACCCCTGAGTTGGGCGTGAAGGGAGACCTGGACTTGACCATCCCAAGCCTGGAGGTGGGTGCCAAAGCCCCCGGTGCAAACCTCCACCTGGGCACCCCGGGTGGCACCATCAAAGGGCCTTCCGTGGACCTCTCTGCCCCGGATTTGGACGTGAACCTGAAAGGACCAAAGTTGAAAGGAGATGTTGATGTTTCTGCTGGTCTCCAAGCCCCCAAAGCGTCGGTGGACGACGGTGCCTTCGAGATCTTGGGTGGCACCATCAAGCTCCCGTCCCTCAAGCTCCCCCAGTTTGGGATCTCCAGTCCTGGCGTGGATGGAAGTGGTGGAGGCCTCAGCCTTGAAGGTCCCCAAGTGAAAGGAGGCCTGAAGACCTCGGGGGTGGGGTTGGAAGGACCCGATGTGGAGCTGAAAGGGTCGAAGTTTCAAATGTCCCCACCAGACATTGACCTGAAGCTGAAAGGACCAAACCTACGAGGTGATGTCGACGCTGGTGACATTAAAGGTCCAAAGATCAGCGTGGAAGCTCCTCAGGTGGACCTGAAGGAGCCTGGGGTTGGTGTCCACCTCGAAGCTCCTGCCTTGGACGTGTCGTCGGCGAAAGGTTCCGGGTCGGGTTTGAACGTCAACGTCAAAGGGCCGAAGATCAAAGGTGGTGCCACCATCTCCGGGGAGGTGACGGCGCCAACTGTGAGCGTTGGTGGTGGCACCTTCCACGTCACCGGCCCCAAGGTGGGGATGGGAGGCCCTGGTGTCACCGTCAGCAGCCCCGAAAGCGCCGCGGGGAAAGTCTCGTTCCCCAAGCTGAGAATGCCCAAATTTGTCTTTTCCGACCCCGAGGTGAAGGGCAGGGAGGTGGGGGTGGACGTGGAGTTCCCCGGGGCTGGGGACATCAACCTCCAGCCCGAAGCAGAAGTGGAAGAAACCGACGGGAGGCTGAAAAAACCCAAACTCAAAATGCCCAAATTCCACTTTTCCAAACAAAAAGGGAAGAGCAGCGGAAGTTCCTCCCCGGAAGTTCCCGGCTCCGTCTCGGGTTCCAAAGTCGACCTGAAGAGCTCCAAGGTGAGTTTGGAAGGGGAGCTGGAGGGAGGCAGCTCGGAAGGCGCCAGCAAAGGGAAGTTCTCCCTCTTCAAGAGCAAGAAGCCGCGTCACCGGTCGTCGTCGTTCAGCGACGAGCGCTCGACCCCCGCGACCGACCCCGACCCCCTGGACAAAACCAAACCGGGCAAGATGAAATTCGGGACTTTTGGTGGCATCGGATCCAAGGCCAAAGGTTCTTACGAGGTGACGGGAAGCGACGAGGAGGTGGGGAAGGGGGCAGGGGTGGCCAAGACCACCCGTTTGTCTTCCTCTTCCAGCAACGACAGCGCGACCAGGGGCGGGTTCCGTTTGCCCGACGTTGAGTTGACGGTGGCCAAGAAGAAGGAGTAGAAGGTTGTACAGAG